CCCTTCTAGCACTGATGATGTTCCCTAGTTGGGTCATGAAACGTTTGCAAGAAAACCACCCAGCTCAGAGAGCAGCAAGGAGTCTACTGTCCTTCTCCTCCTCCTCCTGCTCCTCCTCCTCCCTTCTAGGATTGATGATGTTACCTAGTTGGGTCATGAAACGTCTGCAAGAAAACCAACAAGCTCAGAGAGCACCAAGGACCCCACGGTCATTCTTCTTCTTCTCCTCCTCCTCCTCCTCCTCCAGAGCAGAGAGGGAGGAAGAGAAGCAGACAGGTTCCTCCCTTGAGGCAGGCTGCAGAGGAACTCCAGAGCAGAAGGTGGGGAGGACTTGGCAATGATAGTTTTCTGGGAGGCCCCAAATGATTTCCTTCTGGAAGGAAAACTGCAGGAGCAACACAAGTTGGTTGGCATCCCAATAGAAAGAGCAAATCAGTCAACCAATCAATGGCTCTTGAAGGGGGCCTATTCTCCCAGCTCTCTTGGAGAGTTTGGCCGGGGTCCCTTGCTTGGTCCCTTCGGGGAAGCCCCAGGCCATTATCCCCGCCTCCCCCAAGTCAGTTCCAGGCGGCTGGAAGAGCCCTGGAAGGTCTGGAGATGTTCGGCCTGCAGGACAGACCCAGTGGAGGCACAGGAGCAGCCTTCAAACCTCACAGCGGGGAGGGAGTGGGCGTCTTCTCTGTTGCCCCAAAGGACAGGGTGAAAATGCCAAGGAAGGCGGTCCAGGCTGGGCATCATCAATAAAAATTATCATCCGTAAAATAAATGTGTCATTAGAAGGGAATATTTGCAGTTCAGGGTTGAACTGTGGGGTCCCAGGTGCTCTCTGGGCTGGGTGGTTTCCTTGCAGACGTTTCGTGACCCAACTAAGGAACATCCTCAGTGGTAGATAGAGGCGAGGTTTACGCTCTGTTTATACACAACATAACCCCTCTCTCTTCTCGCACTGATGGTGTTCCCTAGTTGGGTCATGAAACGTCTGCAAGGAAACCAGCAAGCTCAGAGAACATCCAGGACCACAAATGTGTCCTTTTCTTTTTGACAATCCTCCTTCCCATCAGTCCGCTCTCTCTCTCACACAAATATTTCTGGTGCTATAGCACTTTTAAAAAAAAGTTTAACATCTTTTTATGAATCCCTGTTAGAAGAAGAATTTTGTTTTCCCAGTTGTGTGAGGAAAACACACTTTCACTCCAAGAAGTAAGCTTTGCTTTTAAGGAAAGACTTATTAGTCCCCCCTCTCTCCTCTGCTTTTGGCTTGTGGGTTTCCTCCATCCAGTATTTCAATATACAGCCCATATCCTACATTGTATAGATATATGAAACTGAGGAGTGTGGGGAAAAAGAGCTTATTGCTTTTACAGAACTGTGAGAGGACATGCTAGCCTGTGGAGCAAATACATTGTGTATATTTTATTCTCATGAGCCTAACTTGAAGCTTGAGAAGTATCTAGGAAGGTTTCTGCTATGCTGAAAACCCGTCCTAACCAGAATCTACTGATATAGTGGTAGTAGTAGTAGTAGTAGTAGTAGTAGTAGTAGTAGTAGTAGTAGTAGTAGTAGTAGTAGTAGTAATGTTGGAAGGGACCTTGGAGGTCATCTAGTCTATGATAGCAACTTTAGAGAGAACCCCTAGGAACTAACAACCATAAAAGGAAATTCGTAAATAAGGGCTGGGGGCAATAAAATTAGAGTAATGGGAGAAGTAATCAGGGGTGGAGATAATATATTCACTTTAGAACAGGGGTCTTCCAACTTGGCCCTTGGATGACTTGTGGACTTCAACTCCCAGAATTCCTCAGCCAGGATGCTTTAAGACAGGGGTCTTCCAACTTGGCCCTTGGATGACTTGTGGACTTCAACTCTCAGAATTCTGGGAGTTGAAGTCCACAAATCATCAAAGGGCCAAGTTGAAAGACCCCTGCTTTAAAAGCTTTGGTAGGTTGTGACGACATGATTACAGTATGATTACTAAGCCAACGAAGAAGAGGTGGGAGGTAAATTTGTAACAGCAATGGAGAATATAAAGAATGAATATTGAAGATTTAAAGTGTGTCCACTGTGTGCTTGCGGGCACAAGGAGCGCCCCCTTTGCAAAGGAGTGCAAATAAATTACCATGGTTTTCTCTTGGAAGTTTTGGCCTGGGATTGTTTATTTCAGCTAGACAACGAATCCCACAAGAGGAATCCCAGCCATATCTGGCTCCTTTGGTCTGTCTTTTGTTTCTCAGAGAAGGCGCCCGCTCTGGAACTAAAGGGCCACATGTGGTTTGAAAGAGGCCTCAGAAAGCTGCAAAGTGCCCTTAGATGTTTTCTGCTCCATCAATTTGGATTTTCAAGAGCAGAAACATTTTCCTCCAAGTGATTCTTATGACACTTGCAGAATTATAACTGATTGAGGGGTCCTCGGTGCTCTCTGAGCTGGGCTGTTTTCTTGCAGGCATTTCATGGCCTAACTAGGTAACATCATCAGTGCTAGGGGGCTTGTATTGTATATAAACAGAGAACAAACCCAACTCCCTTCTAGCACTGAAGATGCCACCTAGTTTGAGCCATGAAACGTCTGCAAGAAAACAATCAAACTCTGAGAGCACCAAGGACCCTTCATTTCAACCGTGAGCCACAAATATTCCACTTTATAACTGACCGGGGAGACAGGCAAGGTCCTTCCCACAAGTCACCCATGGATCTGTGATATCGGGGGGTTTTGTGTGGTGCAAGACCGGACTAGCAAAGTGCTCCAGAAGCAGGGACCGGACGGCCCTGAGTGGGTGGAGGGCGATGGCCAAACTTCACGAGGGCAAAACCCCTGGAGATGTGGCCCACCAACTGTGTCACAGATCTCTGTGATGTCAGCAGTGAGATCACAGTCCAGCCAGGTTCAAGGGAGAAGACATGTCCAAGGCAAGACAAGAGGGGAGAAAAGGAAAATGAAGGAACCCGCCAGGTGGTGAACCAGCGGACGAGAAAGGCAACATCTCGCTGGTATGTGTGATCTGGCCTTGGCTGGTGCTGAGACGCAAGGGGGCAGGAGACCACTGGCCCCTTCCCACCTCCTCACAAGCACCACTGCCCCACTGGAAAGAGACTTCCTGCTTCCCTCCTCCTCGTTCTCCCTGAACCTCTGCTCTCTTCACAAGGTCCTCCGTCACCATCCGACCGCAGCCGCAGCCTCTGAGCGGCCATGTCTGAGAGCAAAAGAGCCCCCGGGGCTGCGAACCACAGAAGCCGGGTCATCAGAGTGACTGTCAAGACCCTCAAGCGCAAGGAGCAATTTGAGGTGGCCGACAGCACCCGCGTCCAAGAGTTCAAGAAGCTGATTGCTGACCGCTTCAAGACGCCCCCCGAGCAGCTGTCCCTCATCTTTGCGGGTGAGATTCTCAACGACCAGGATACCCTCGTGCAGCACAAGATTGGCGACGGGTCCAAAGTCCATCTCTTCATCAAGTCTCAGAGGAAGCCCTCAGGCAACCCAGGGGACAATCCAGCTACGCCCACCGCCTTCTCACAAATGCCAGCAGCTCGAGAGTTCTCCTCGGAACACAGCCTGGACCTCTCGGATTGGAGCAGCCAGCCTGAAGACCTGATGGCCTCCTGCCACGAAATTGTTGCCCAGACCACGGAGAACCTTTTGCTCCAGATGGTCACGCTGAACCTGGATGCCTCTGCCTTGAACAGCAACCCGCTTCTCCTGGGCTTCCTCCTCGGGGTCACCGGCATGAACGTTCTGGACCTGAATGCCCAGGAGGTTTCTGACTTTGTCAGTGAGGCCCAGGAGCAGGATGCGACCCGGCAGGAGCTCATCATTGAAATGATGCAGCACCCCTTTGTGCAGAACCTCTTTGGGGACCCCGAACAGGTCAGGCAGATGATCCTGTCTGTGCCTCAGATGCAGCAGCTGGCTGAGCAGAACCCAGAGATCAACCACATCCTTAACAACTCCGAATTCCTGCGAGAAATGATCGACGTGGCCACCAGCCCAGCTGTGATGGATGAGATCATCAGGAACCACGACCGAGCCCTGAGCAACCTGGAGAGCACCCCAGGGGGTTACAGCGCCTTGCAACAGCTCTACAACGACATTGAGGTCCCAATGCTGAACGCGGTGCAGGCCCAGTTCCAGGGCAGTTCGTTTCCTCCCTCAGACACGAAACCTTCCCCTGGGGGGATCAGCCCCCTCTCCCGGACAGAGAACAGGGAGCCTCTGCCCAACCCGTGGGCGCCCCAGTCGAACAGCAGTGGTGGTGACAATATATGTAACGGTGACATCAGCAGTGCCGCCGGTAACAGCGCTGAGCAAGGTTACATCCTGCTAGCGTTGGGCCCCGGAGTCCGGCCAGGACCTAGCAAGACTGAAAGCATCCAAAACATGGTCCATCAGCTCACGGACAACCTGGAGTTCATGCAGAACATCTCCAACGCCCTGGCGAAGCCTAATGGCCCCACTCAGATGTTCCTCAGTCACTGCAACTCCCCGGTGAGAAATGACGCACCTCCGCCTCAAGGGTGGACACAGC